CAATATTTGTGGTTCCCTTTTATTGATTTCTCAGGAACTTCTTTTATGTCTGATGTAGAAATGAATACTAAAGGTCTTCCTTGAAGTGTGCTTGAGAGATGGTCGATAATGAAAATAGTATATTGCCACTATCCCTTAAGATCATTAATTTTGGCTCATGTGCACACAAGTTGCTTTCTATAGATTTAGTACTTTTACTTGTCTTTTGCAGGATTACACATGGATTTGTTTTACATGTGGTTTATTATTTCATTGAAAAGCGCACCACAATTGGAAAAAAAAAAAGAAATCAGTATGAATGACAAAATAACACCGAAGTCCTTACAGTGTCAATAATTTTATTGATTAATAAGGGCGTTATAACTCGAAGCTGGCCTCTTGTTTGGGTTTGTGGTGCTATAATTTAACGAAACTCTTGGTGTCACTGTGCACCAACAAAGACAGGAGGTCTCTGTTCTTCATCCATTCTTTTCTGCCATTGCGAAGGCTTATTTTGGTGTAGCGTGTCTAGGTTAAGGACGTTACAAAAGGCAAACGCTGGGATTATTTAGAATATTTAAAAAGAGCACTATTTTTGATCACTTCCAAGGAATTTTCCAGGAAAGGATTAAACCTTGATCGATCATGGGAAGTGCAGTATACGGAAGATTGGCTATGAATTGCTATTGTGTGGTTTTTCTTTTCGTGGCCTTGCATTTCGCCCATGGAGACGTGAGCTACACTATCGCAGAGGAAATCAAAGGCGGATTTGTGATAGGGAATATCGCCAAAGATCTGGGTCTTGGGATGGCGACTCTTTCCTCGCGTAAAGTCCGCATTGACACAGACAGGGACGATAAAAGGTATTGTGATATTAATCTGAGCACCGGAGAATTGACTGTCAGTGACAGGATCGACAGGGAAAGTCTTTGTGGTAAAAAAGCCAGCTGTGTTTTAAAAGAGGAGCTTGTGCTGGAAAATCCTTTAGAGCTTCATCGCATCAGTATTCATGTGCAAGATATAAATGATAACGCGCCAGAGTTTAGTGAGGATCTGATTTCACTTGAAATAACAGAATCGGCAGACAAAGGAGCGAGATTTTTACTTACGGAAGCCCGCGATGCCGACATAGGCACAAATGCTGTCCAACGTTACAATTTACAAAACAATGAGCATTTCACCATTAATGTAAATACAGATGTTAGTGGGAGGAAACATTCCGAATTGGTTTTGTTAAAAGAACTAGACCGAGAAAAAG